ATCTATGAATGTAAAGACGCTTTTCGTCATTCTCTAATATGGTTTTATTCTTAACTCACAGAAATCATTCACATGAGATTTGATAATGTCCCTAGCTGAACAAAAGACTTCTGACCAAGAGTGAAACAGGATGATTGAGGGGTGCCTGGGTGGCTCAGTTGTTAAGCGTCTGCCTTCAGCTCAGGTCATGATCTCAGGTTCCTGGGATCAAGCCCTGCATTGTGCTCCCTGCTCAGAGGGGAACCTGCTTCTCCCTCTCCCTTCACCCCTTCCCCCCCCAACTTGTGCTCTCTGCTTTCTCTCATGCTCTCTCTCAAATAAATAAATAAAATCTTAAAAAAAAAAAAAAAGAAACGGAATGATTGAGATCAGAAGGGGAGGTAGAATACTCCTATTAAGCAATGCCCTCGCTTTAGAACTTTCTAGCCTCTGGGTGGTCATAAACATAAAAGGCATGTTCACAAACCCGTGCATTATATGGCTCCTCCCCTTCCCACAACATACACAGATCGGTGAATGAATGAAAAGATTTCCTGTCACTTAATACACTTCAGGTGGGGAGAATCTAAAAGGTGGAGGAAGGGGCCTGCTCATGTTGCTGACACGGGATGCCTCTTAAGGACAAGGAGATGGGCAGATACCGGGGCAGGCATGGCAGGTGTGACTATTGTCTCCTTTAGATTAGATGATGACCCTTTCAAAGATTCCCAGCAACTCAGTTATGAAAAGAGGCCACTGTTTCTGTAGGGTCCCCTCAAGGTTTAGTCAGACCGTGGACCTATTCAGTTCCCTCACTGAAGGTTCGAAGAAGGCTTCCACCCAACGTGGCAACAATGCTGTGGGGTTCGTACAGACATGTCAGGTGGAGGATAAGTTCTCATTGCTGACCTCTGGAAATAGTTGATGTTTCAGGTGCACTGAAGAATTGCTATATGGGGGGAGAATCCTGCTTTCATGACAGACTGTGCAACCACACAGTGACCCTCAGTGGGTCCTGGAGAGAATTAAGTGAGAGAACACATAGGACCGTACATATAAGTACAATTGCAGTGATTGGCAGAACAGTTACTCACGTGACTTCTTTCTTTCTGACAAATAGAAAATTCATATTTTCCTTTATGCTTTGTTTGTGAGGAAGCAGGTAACTAAAGTTTTGGTTGTTTGGGTTCTGAAGCAACTTCCTCTAGTCTGGGTTGTTTTAGTATAGCTAGTCTTCCTTTCAATTTCCAATTCTCCTCTTGATTTTGGTGGGGCCCAAAGTCCTCTTTCATTTTTAGATCTTAGAGTGAGTCCAGGCGTTGAGAAAAAGGGAATTTCTGAGGACTATACAAGGGTCAGGAAGATTATGGTTTTGTGGGAGCTGAAGCTTGTATAATTTGGAGGGCCTGCTTAAAGAAAAAAATACAAAAACAATTGACTTTTGCAAATGTTGTACAGCATGGGACTCTGAAAAGTTTGCTAGGGCTCTTCTCAGGATCTGGGCAGGGACCCATGCAAGTGAGGGACAGGAAGTCTAAGTTTCTTTAACTTCATGGTACATTTACCTCTGTCCCACAGTGGTATTTAGGCTAGGGCTCCGGACACAGTCAGGAGTAAATACAGATCAGGAAACTGAGGCAGGAGTCCAATACAAATTAGGCTGGGTTCATAAAATAGGATTAAAAAAAAAAAGGAGGTGGCTTGATATTCATGTGGGTATCCAGGGCTCAGTTCCAAATAGCCGACTTAGGGCAGCCAGCACGACTCCACACCTTCTTTACACATTAGAAGGTCTGCATTGGTGGCCATATGACAACATGCCCAGGTTCATGCAGGGACTAGGAAGGGCTCACCACTGTGTGTCTTGTGGCCAAGTCACACAGATGAGTCTGACAGGGACTTGCATATACTAATTTGTTTGTTCATTCAGTCATTGAGCAGTTACTTTGTGTGTCTTGGAGGAAAAAAAGAGCCCCCATCTCTGTCCTGAAGGAGCTCATGTCTAGAAGCAGTGGCCGACACCTACACATGAGGTAGCCAGTGTCCCAAAGAAAATCATCTATGGACCCCAAGAGTCTATGAGTAGTGAGGACTGTCCTGGTTTTAGCATTTCAAATCCTGTGTTTTAAGAAACCCCAGTTGGGGCACCTGGGTGGCTCAGTCAGTTAAGCGTCTGCCTTTGGCTCAGGTCATGATCCCATGGTCCTGGGATCAAATCCCACATCAGGCTCCCTGCTTGGTGGGGAGTCTGCTTCTCCCTCTCCTTCTGCCTGCAGCTCCCCCTGCTTGTGCTCTCTCTCTCTCTGTCAAATAAATAATCTTAAAAAAAAGAAAGAAAGAAAGAAAGAAACTCCCCAGTTTAGGGCAAACTGGGACAGTTGGTCATCCTAGAAAGGAGGGACCATGACTAGTTTTCTTGGAGGCGGGAAGGCATTGAGGTTTCTGGGTTCAGCCTTGGAGCACCATTCATTTCCCTATAGGGTGTGGTGGCCCTGGCATACTTTCTGATCTAGCCTTGAGGAATTGTGTCCAAGTTCTTGGGAATGTGCAAGGTTGGTACAATGAGCTGTAATCCTGGGCTCTACTGAAAGAAGAGAATGTGTAAGAAGTGATAGTGGTGGGGAAGAGCCTGGGAGAGCAGCCACATGGGTCACCTCTGAGGCCAAGCCCAGAATGTGAGGAGGTGAGGAGCCAGTTGAAGACCAAGCCAACCAGGTGATGGAGCTCAGAGCAGCAGTGGCCTCTGAATCTAGAACAATGTACTGAAGGTACCTTCAGAGTTTGTAAGCCTTGTGCTTTGGGGCCCACATGCTCCTTGCCCTGAGAGCAGAGCAGGGCAAGAGATGCCAGCAGAGAACAATGAACACTGAAGAAACACAGTATCCCTTTGTTGCTCAACCCTCTTCTAGGCAATTCTGTCCAGGTTAGGGAAATCAGCTCTGGATTTTTAACCTGAGATCTTCATGTTTAGAGTATCCCATACCCAACACCTGGAATTACATGCCAAATTTTGTGTAGATAAGCATATCCTCAGAAGACAGCATCCATCAGCATCTGAAAGTTGTTCAAGATTGGAAACAGATTGAGAAACATTGACTAAGTGGTCCCTAAAGTCCTTCTTGTTTTTACATTCTATGATTCTTTGATAACACTCAAGATAATTGATTTCAATTTATAAAAAGGATCACAAAGAAGTGTCAGGATCCAAGAAACCCAAGAACTATCAGTATGAGAAATATGCTAAATATTAATATCGGGGAATTCAAAACAGCTTTCTTTGTTGTGAAAGGGGACCTGTGATAATTGATTTTATATGTCAGCTTGGCTAGGCTCATGGGCACACTGTGTGGGTGCCCAGTTGTCTGGTCAAACACAAATCTAGGTGTTGTGAGGTATTTTTTCGATGTGATTAACATTTAAGTCAACAGACATTGAGTAAACCAAACTGCCCTTCATAATGTTGGTGGGTCTCATCCCATCAGATGAAGGCCTTAAGAGCAAAGACTGAGGTTTCCCTAACAAGAAAGAATTCTCCAGACTGTAACATAGGAACTCTGCCTGGGTTTCCAGCTTGCTGTCCTGTAGAATTCAGACTCAAGGCTGTAACATCTTTTTTTTTTTTAAAGATTTTATTTCTTTATTTGACAGACAATGACAGAGGGAATGCAAGCAGGGGGGGTGGGAGAGGGAGAAGCAGGCTTCCCCTGGAGCAGGGAGCCCGACGCGGGGCTCGATCCTAGGACTCTGGGATCGTGACCTGAGTCGAAGACAGACACTTAACGAATGAGCCACCCAGGCACCCCTGTAACATCAACTCTTAACCTGAATTCTTAGCCTTTTAGCCTGCCCTACAGATTTCTGGAACTTTCCACCCATACAAGCATGTGAGCCTGTTCCTCAAAAATCTCAATCTCTTTCTCTTCCTCCCTCTCTATTCTATTGGGTCTGTTTCTCTGGGAAACTGACCAGTACACGACCCATTAGTCATTGGTTTCTTTGTAATATTGGGGATTAACATATATATGACTCAACAAAATGCTGAACTTAAGCACTGGTGAAAGCAATCCTGAGGCCTTTTGGAATAAATGAGAACTATTGGACAGGAACAAGGTATACACTTGTGGGTGTACGTTCCAAGCTTCCAGTAATATGGCCAAAGAGCCCAGTTTGGTATTAACCAACTTGAAAGCAAGTTGGTTAATAGTTTGGTCAAAAGGACAATTTGGTTCAAAATGAAGATCCTTTACTTTTTAATGGCACTGTTAAACTATTTTCACAAAAAGCACGTATCCATATTACTTTCATAATTTTACAAAAAGAAGATAATGAATATTTTCAGGCACTTTTTTTGGAGTGGTGCTGGTGGTGGAGAGGTGGCTGAAGCAGGCATTATTAACACCTCCCTACTCCCTACATAATCAGGCTTGCACCTTGGGAGCTGGACCACCTCCTGGGAAGGCCCCTTGGCTCTTGGCAGGTGAACTGAAGCTACAGGAATCTTGAAATTGCCATAGGCCTCCTTTTTACCCCTTTCTGCCACGGGGGTCTTCCTGGCTAAAAAAAGTAACCGCTGGAGTGGGGGTGGCGGGGGCTTGATAGTAAAAGGGGCCACCCTACGCTTTGTCCCTTTTTCCCCACCAGAGGGCTGGGGAAGGTCTTACTCTGCGTAAATTTACAAGTATTTATTGATGTGTATTATATGTGCATTTTACCAGGTTTTCTTGGGAAAGAAATCTTGGAGGGCGGGATTCTGTTTATTAATATATACTTTAGGCTGTATTTCTAATTTCTTTTCAGATTACTTTATTTTTCTTAATAGATATTCATTAAATGCAACTAAGGTTAAAAGAAACACGGGCACCGTTTCTGGGAACTCGCCCACCTCCAAAGGCCCCACGCCGCCGCCCAGTCCGAGCACACGCCTCGAAAGGGTTTCTGCGCCGCCGTGACGTCACGGCGTTGGGGCGGGTCCCGTGGCAGGGGCGGGGCGCTTCCCGGATCTCGCGGAGGGGAGGGCCAGGGGGTGCGGCCCCGCGGGGCGCGCTCGGCCCCCGAAGTGCGGGCCTTTGTAAACGCGCCCTCCCCGCGCGCGGTTTGTTGCGGAGAGGCTTGCAGGGTCGGGATGTTGGGGGTGCGCGCGGTCCAGGAGCAGAGGCGCCCGGAGCAGAGCGCGGCGGGCCCGTCTCCCGCACGCTTTGTGCTGGGGCTGGACGTGGGCAGTTCGGTGATCCGCTGCCACGTCTATGACCACGCGACGCTGATTCGCGGCTCCAGCGTGCAGAAGGTGACCGGGGAGCGGGCGTCGGGGCCGCGGGTCAGGGTCGCACAGAGCACCCCGGATCTAGTCGCGGGAGGCAAGCGGCCGGGTCCGCGACATCCAGCCAGAATGCAGCCACCTGCAGCACCGGCGGGCCCTTGGTCCTCAGCGGCGGGCGGGGAGCGGCCAGATCTCAGTATTACCTCGCAGGGCAGGGCTGAAACCTGCGCGCCCTTTCTGTTCTGGCTGAGGGCAGGAGGGGTTCGGTTTGTGACCAGGGGTCCTTCTCTCGCTTCTATTACCTGCAGATTCGCCTTTCCTGGGTGGGACTGCGGGGACTCGCAGGGCAGGGCAGAGCACGCCGCGCGTATCCAACCAGAAGGTGCTTTGTGACTTGCTAGGTTTTTCCCACTTCCTCGGTAGACTTCCAGCCCCGTCTTTATTTACATTTAAATGTTTCAGATATTGATAGAATTTATTGTCCGTTCCTCAGTTGTCATTATTAACTGCTTCTCAAAGTGCTGGTTCCTCATCTGAGCGACTGATTTTCATGGACATTAGAGGAACTGGACAAGTTTTGAAGGCTGTATTGTCATTACTTTTCTCCTTTCCATCTTTGAGCATTGATAAAAATGCCTTTTTCTGGTTTGAGAAAACCTACCAAATCCTTACTTCTTATTAGTAAAGCAACCAACAGATTGGTGCTCTTCTGTTCTTATTTTAATGAAGTGTTGATTTCTGCGTGCGCACCAAAAATAATGTTGATTGGATGTGGTGTTCTTACTCTTCTTTCCAATATCAGCGTCTTTTTATGTTAGCAGTTTTAGGAGCCATTAGATACCTAACCCATTCCCACCCAGCAGCGCTGGGTTCTCCGTTTGTTCGGTTCTCACCCTTCTTCCCAACCACTTAAACAGTGTTTTTAACCGTAGCAGTTGCCCAGGGGCAGATCTATCCAAGAGACTGCGTTGAGAAAATGGGGCAGTTTCATTTCATTCTGGTTTCTGGACCAGAACAGTGAGCTGGGACTAAGCAGCTGGGTCCTTCTCTGGGCCCTTTTCTGGCTACCTGTGCAGAAACACTGCCCGCCCACCCTACACACGCCATCCCTCCCCCAACCTGAAAGAACACTGTCCTTTGGTGACTGTGTGTGTCGTTATCTTTTTGAATCTTTATCACAACACAATGATACTTTTCACACCGTCTTCCTCATAATTCTAGACACAAAGTACTTTTGTTTTAGGCAGTGATTTTTTTTTTTAATTGAAATATTTGGAACCAAAGGGAGACATGGATTGTCAGAAAATACAAAGTTTTTCAGTTGCTGTATAATTTGGGGCAAATGATTAGTTTTTTAGAAATGAGGTAGGAATCTAAACGATGAATCAAGATTGCTGTGAGTAGCAGGAGACTAGAATGGCTTGCTTAGACTCTCAGCCGGAAGGTGTCTGGAAAGATATGAGTTAAAAATATAAAAAGTCCCTGCCCTCAAAGGATGAAACACTTAGATTAAGGAGTTTATAGCAATGGCTCTCCAACTGTGGTTAAGAGTTCATAGCAGTTCTGTTCGTTCTTTCTTTCCTTTTCTTTTCTTTCTTGATTTTATTTGTCAGAGAGAGAGAGCACAAGCAGGGGGAGCACAAGGCAGAGCTGGCAGAGGGAGAAGCAGGCTCCCCGTTGAGCAAGAAACCCCATATGGGACTCGATCCCAGGACTCCGGGATCATGACCTGACCCGAAGCCAGATGCTTAATCTACTGAGCCACCCAGGCACCCTATCATATAGCAGTGCTTCTTAAAGTGTAGTTCCTGGGCATCTGGGGTAGAGATGAAGAAATTAAGATTTAGAAACTTGTGTAGCAGTTTACTAGAGTAGTTTTATGTCTGCTGATCTTAAAAATGAAACATTTGGGATTCTATTTTGTATGTAATTTTTTTCTAGAAAATTGCTTTAATTGTGTCTTAAAAATTGTTGGTCCATAACGAATTAGAAATAGAAAAGAACAACCGGAAATTGGTCATTTACTTCAGATAGCTGGAGTAATTTTTTTTTTTTAAAGATTTTATTTATTGTTTGACAGAGATAGAGACAGCGAGAGAGGGAACACAAGTAGGGGGAGTGGGAGAGGGGGAAGCAGGCTTCCTGCTGAGCAAGGAGCCCAGTGCGGGGCTCGATTCCCAGGACCATGGGATCATGACCTGAGTGGAAGGCAGACGCTTAATGACTGAGCCACCCAGGCACCCTTGGATACTTGAAGTTCTTTGAGGAAAAGGTTCTTGGCCTACATTGCTACTTAGCACCTGATTTATTACCTCATGGGTACAGAATAAATCATTGAATTGCATTTAATCGAAGTATTAGGAATTCAGTTTGCTTCATGAAACTGGATTGGACACAGAACTTTTGTTTATTTTCTCAAGCGAAAATCACATCTCTGCTAATATGATGATAAGACTATATATAATAGAAACCCAAAACCTCTTAGTATAGGATTTGACTGATATTGCCACGTAAATAGTTTAAAAGAGAGACAGAGAAAGAAAAAGTGAAGAGATCACCCTTAGAGATAAGAACATAATAGGCTGTATTGCTCTTTTAATTAAAATTGAAGTCCCAAACATGAACCCTTTACGTTAAGAAGCTAGTACTAGGCCTCTCAGAAGACCAGTTTTATTTCTTGTGGCATTCATTTTTTAATAGCAGAGATACATTTTTAGACTTTTTCTATAATTTGTGTTTTTTTTAAGATTTTATTTATTTGACAGAGAGATACAGCGAGAGAGGGAACACAGGCAGGGGGAGTGGGAGAGGGAGAAGCCGACTCCCCGCTGAGCAGGGAGCCTGATGTGGGGCTCGATCCCAGGACCCTGGGATTACGACCTGAGCCGAAGGCAGACACTTAACGACTGAGCCACCCAGGCGCCCCTATAATTTGTATTTTTTATTTTATTTTTTATAATTTGTATTTTTAAAAAAATCTTTGTATAGATTCTTAAGTATTGGTGTTATACCAGAATAGTATTCAGATTTGAAAATCCACATGTCAATATTTGATGTTTCTAGTTTTAAGGAGAAAGTTTATCATGTTTCCCATTGGAACATGACGCTATATGTAAGAAACCATGAAGAATAATAACATCTTGGTTGGAAGAACAGGACAGAAAGGCCAGTCCAAGGAGAACAGTATAATCTGTTCTACTGTGTACCCTTCTGGATAGTCTTGAAAAATTCTGGTTGTTTGCTGTCTTTTGTTTTGTTTGTAATCAGCAAAACAAATCTCCTGAGCTTTGGTTATCCTCTTGTCTAATTTTGGTTTGGTCTTCCTTCGGTACAGGAGGAGATTTCACTATTGTGACATGTTTGGGGATAGTGAGCTCTCTGGGCTGGTGGAGTGGAGGGGAGTGACCCTGCAGCGCCATCTTTAAGTTTTTTGAGTTTTTTGGGATGAGGAAGTGTTTATTGCAGTTGAGGCATTCGTCTGTGGTCATGAAAGTCTTGCATAGAAAAAACAAATATTATTTGATAGAAGGGGAATAGATTTTGTTAAGTCTGTCTCTGGGAACTCACCAGCGAGTAGTAGATCCTTTTTTCATATCAGACCTTGTCACCTTCCTGCTTCCCACATGGTCACTGTTTCCTCAGCATTCCTTTTCTTTATTTTGGTCTTTTCTTACATGTTAGATCTTTGGTGGTTTTTGGTTGTTCCTATTTTCTTTCTTTTTTCTAAGATTTTATTTATTTATTTGACAGAGAGAGACAGCGAGAGAGGGAACACAAGCAGGGGGAGTGGGAGAGGGAGAAGCAGGCTTCCCACGGAGCAGGGAGCCCGACGCGAGTCTCCATCCCAGGATGCTGGGATCCTGACCTGAGCTGCAGGCAGACTAGACGCTTAACGACTGAGCCACCCACTGAGCGCCCCTGTTGTTCCTATTTTCAGTACCACTCAGTAGTCTTACCCTACTCAGCTGTATCTGGTATTTGCAAAGAAAGCATTCTTCTGGTTCAGTCCCTTTGGAGAGTAAACCTTTTACCTTCTGCCTGGTTAGGGAGGGGCAGTGATCTAGCTGGAGGAAGGGATTGGGGATTGGGGATCCTTATAAAGACTTTGAACCAATCTTGTGTTCAGCCCCATCTGGCATCCCAGTCTTTGGAGGTACCTCTACTTTTCAGGATTTTACCATAGAATCTCTGCCAGGGGCGGAGCAAAGATGTGGTGTCATCTGAGCAGGAAGTGAAGTACCGGTTTTCTCCTCTGTTTAGCCATGTGCCACCAATCCACTCACTGCTCATATTAAAAACATTTTGTTAAAACCTGGCCTGAGCCTGTTTGCTCTCTTAGCATTGCCTCTCTGCATAAACCCTTTTAACGTTTTTATTTTAATGGAATCTTGAGAGGAGTTGGAGATATGTAGGTTTAAGCCATCATGTTAAACTGAAGCCATGGCTTCTTTTTATGTTTTCAATAACTTACAGTAAAATTGCCTTTTTGGTGAATAAGTTCTGTGATTTTTAGCCCATGTAGGAGTAATCCAAAAAACTCCCTCGTGCTAGCCCTTTGTAGTCATACCCCTCCCATACCTAACACTGATCAATTTTCCGTGTCCATAGTTTTGTCTTTTTGAGAATGTTTTATAAGTGGAACAATACAGTCAGTAGCCTTTGGAGACTGGCTTTTTTCAGCATAATGCTTTTGAGATTTGTCCATATTATTATATCAGTAGTTCATTCCTTTTTATTTCTAATAGTAACCCATTAGACCGATGTGCCACATTCATTCACCAGTTGAAGTACATTTCGGTTATATCCATGTTTCTGGTGATTGTGACTACAGCTGCTATAAGTATTTGTGTACAGATTTTAATGTGAACCTAAGTTTCGTTTTCTCTAGAATAAATACCCAAGAGTGGTACTGTTGGGTCATATAGTAAGTTAATGTTTAACTTAACAAAAAAATTACCATACTTTTCTAGAGTGGCTGTACCATTTTGCATTTCCACCCGCAATGTGTAAGAGTTCCACATGTTCTTCACTGACACTTGAAATTGTTAGTGTTTTTTATTTTATGCATTCTGATAGATGTAGTGGTATCTCATTGTGGTTTTGATTTGCATTTCCCTAATGTTTTAGTGATGTTGAATATTTCTCTATGCATATTTGCTATCCATATATATCTTCTTTGGCAAAGTGCCTGTTCAAGTCTTTTGCTCAATTTTTAATTGGGTTGTTTTCTTACTGTTGAATTTTGAGGTTTCTTCATATATTCTGAATGTGAGTCCTGTGTTGGGTGTGTGATTTACAGATATTTTAAATCAGTCTGCGCTTTGTCTTTTCATTTTCTTAACTGTGTCTTTTGCAGGGCAAATGTTTTTAATTTTGATGAAGTCCAATTTATCAATTTCTCTGTTTTGTGAATGGTAATTTCGGTGTCATGTCTAAGAGCTCTTCACCTAACCCCACATCACAAAGATTTTTTTCCTGTGTTTTCGTCTGAACATTTTGCAGTTTTATGACTTAAATTTAGATCTGTGATCAATTTTGAGTTAAGTTTTGTTTAAGATGTGAGGTTGAAGTTAATTTTTTTGCATATAGATGTCTGATTGTTCCAACTGTTGAAAAAGCTCTTTTTTTTCCCCCACTGAATTGCCTTGTATACACTTGTCAAAAATGAATTAGCTTTACTTGTGTCAGTCTGTTTCTGGACTCTGTTCCATTGATACCTATTTGTCTATTTTTTTTTTTAAAGATTTTATTTATTTTAGAGGGGGAGAGAGAGAGAGTGCAAGTGCGGGGAGGGAGAGGAACAAAGACTCCGCTCCGTGCTCCGCACTGAGCCCAACTCCAGGCTGGATCTCAGGACCCTGAGATCACGACCTAAGCCAAAATCAAGAGTCGGGTGCTTAACCAACTGAGCCACCCAGGCGCCCCCTATTTGTCTGTTTTTATGCTAGTAGCACACTGTTTTGATTAATGTAACATTATAGTAAGTCTTACAGTTATGTAGTGTGGTTCCTCCAGTTTTAGTCTTTGTCAACATTGTTTGGGTTATTTTAGTTCTTTTGCTTTTTCCTATAAATTTTAGAATCATCATGTCTGTATCTACAAAAATTCTACTGGGGGATTTTGATATACAATTGTAGATGGCATTTCTTTAGCACTTTAAAAATGTTGAGCCACTTCCTCCTGGCCTCCATGGCTCTGATGAGAAATCTGCAGCCATACAGAATCATTGTTTTATATATGTAACGTGTGGCTCCTTTCAAGATTTTTCCTTAGTTTTTGGTTTTCAGCATTTTAATTATGCTGGATCTGAATGTGTAATGTTTCGGACTTATCCTTTTAGGAGTCTTCTAAGTTTCTTGAATATACAGATTTTAAATCTTTCACTGAACTTGGAAAGTTTTTAGCACTATTACTTCCCTGAAGTAATTTTTTTTTTTTTTTTTTTTTTTTTGCACTGAACTCTTTTCTTTCCTTCTTTGGGGACTCTGATGACATAAATACTAGACCCTGTGCTCCTGTCTCATAGATCCCTGAGGCTTTATTCATTCTTTTTTTCCAATATATTTTCTTTCTGTTATTTAAGTTAGATAAATTCTATTGATCTATCTTTGGTTTACTGACTTTCTTCTGTTATTTTTATTCTACTACTGAGCCCATCCAGTATGTTGTTTATTTTAATTATTATATTTTTCTTTTTTAAATTGATTTTTCCAGCTTTATTGAGGTATGATTGACAAATAAAAGTTGCATATAGGTAAGGTGTACAACATGATGTTTTGGTGCACATATACATTGTAAAATGATTACGTACCCATTACCTTACATAGTTACTATTTGTGTGTGTGTGTGTGTGTTGAGAACACTTGAGAACTGCTCTCTTAGCAAATTTCAGGTGTATAATACATTATTATTACCTATAGTCACCATTCTGTATATTAGGTCTCCAGAACTTATTCATCTTATAACTGAAAGTTTGTACTCCCCTTGACCAGCATCTCTCTGTTTCTCCCATTCTCCTAATTATTGTATTTTTCAATTCTAAAAATTTTATTTTGGTTTCTTTTTGTCTTATATTTCTTGGCTGAGACTTTCTATCTTGCCATTTGTTTCAAAAGAATTTGCCCTTTCTTCTTGGAACATTTTTATAATAGCTGCTTGTGAAGTCTTGATCAGGTATCTGTCATCTTGGCATTGGTATCTGTTATCTTTTCCCATGTGAGGTGAGATTTTTCTAGTTCTTCGTATACCTGGTAATTTCAGATTTTATCATGGACATTTTGAATACAGTTTTATAAGACTCAGGGTCTTGTGTAAATCCTATGATGAATGTTGGTATTTTTCTTTTACCAGGCAATCAATGCAGTTGGGTTCAAGCTACAAATTCTACCAGTCTTCTGTGGACTTTGGTTTCAGTGTTTGTCATTTCCAAAATCTTGGCAGTACTGTTTGCATCTGCCCTGTGAATGTGCCACCCAGTAGCCAGTCTGGCACCTGGGTAGGGGTCTGTCCCTTAGTTCTTTACATCTTTGCTATGCTGTTTAGATTTATGTTCACATAGGTACAGCTTCGAGGTGAGCTTCGGAATTCATACGCAACTTTCCGGAGAAGCTTTCCCAAGCTCCTCCCTCTCTGAGATCGTCCTGGTACTTTTTGGTTCCCTGAGTTTCCCCTTTTGGCTCCTCTTGCCAGAAAGCTGGAGCTTTCATTACCCTACTCTGCCTGCACTTCCTATGCCCACAGCTGGGGCTACACATCAAAAGCAGAGAGAGAAACAAAACAAAAAAACCCCAAAACATGGCGGTCTTGGGCCACACCTCCTCTAGTTGGAGAAGTTTTACCTCCTTCAGTATTTTAGGTACCTGAGATTACCGGTGCAACCACTACTACAAGATAGCCTGGGTACAAAAGTGTGGAGGCAAGCGGGAGAAAAAAAGATATATGGGGGACTTCTCCCATTCTCTCTGAGTGTTAGCCAAAACATGAGAGCTTCTGGAGTTTCCGCTGATCCTGGTACCCGCTTCTGGTTTTATGGACTTCCTTGAGTCCAGGCCAGGGAATATCAGGAAAAAAATGGGAAACTCACCACCAGTTAGTAGTACTGGCATTCTTACCTTCCCCCATCTTCCTGCCCCCATAGACTTTCTAGAGTCCACATGCATTCAGTGGTGCAGACAGGGTGGAGTGTGCTTCCTCCATCATAGTCTGCATCAGAACTTGGTACTTTGTTAATTTTTGTTTTTTAAAAAAAATTTTCTCATAAAAATAGTACGTCTTCATTATAGAAAACTTGGAAAGTAAAGATAAAACAAAGAAAGCTAAAATTTTCTGTAAATTCATGAACTGAGGAAAACTTTTTATTTCATATTTTCAATTTTAACAATAAAAATGAATTAGATAATGAATGAAATCATGTTGTAATCATTTTCACCATTTAAAAAATTTTAAGACCCAGATGTTATTGACTTGATCTAATGTTGTTTTTACTACATTTTCTTTTTCTAAATAGATAGAAAATCTTTATCCTCAAGCTGGCTGGGTTGAAATTGATCCCGATGTTCTCTGGCTTCAGTTTGTAACTGTAATAAAGGAATCTGTTAAAGGTAATTAGGCTTGCAAAAATAAAAATAATAAAGTGTATTTTGTTTGTAGTAAGAGTGTTCCTCAGTCTGTAGAATTTTACGGGTTTCCTAAGTTATAATTACAGGAATATTGTTTTACTGGGGTAAAATTTCCTAGTATTTTTTCGGCAGACATCTGTGGTTAATAGTTAACCACTTTGTCAAGGAAAGGTAACAGCAACTCTCTCTGTCCTCTGGTTTAAATCTTTTTTCAATACAGTATAAAGGTTCACTTTCCTTCTTCATTCCAGGTTGTGGCTAGTGCTCATTCGACTTCTGTTGTGTACAAAATACTAGAGGGTTATAAACAAAATTAGAACCCACAGTTCCTGCTCTCAGGAATTTACAGCTTTATTCCTTTTTTTTTTTTTCAAGATTTTATTTATTCATTCGAGAGAGACAGAGAGAGAGAGCACAAGCAAGGGGAGGGGTAGAGGCAGAGGGAAAAGCAGGCTCCTTGCCAGGCTCCGCTCATGACCTGAGCCAAAGGCAGATGCTTAACCTACTGAGCTACCCAGGTGCCCCGAGTTACCTTTATTGTTAAACAAGTTTTTGTTTTCATTTTTTTGTGTGGCCTCTTGATGCAAAGTCTTGGCCATAGTCACGGTGGGAAATATTAGCTCTTTTCTTTTCTTTCTTTCTTCCTTAAATTTTCTTTTTTTTTTTTAAGATTTTATTTATTTATTTGACACAGAGAGACAAAGTGAGAGAGGGAACACAAGCATGGGGAGTGGGAGAGGGAGAAGCAGGCTTCCTGCTGAGCAGGAAGCCCGATGCGGGACTCGATCCCAGGACCCTGGGACCGTGACCTGAGCCGAAGGCAGACACTTAACGACTGAGCCACCCAGGCGCCCGCTTGCTTGCTTTCTTTCTTTCTTTCTTTCCTTCTTTCTTTCTTTTTTTTGTTAGGGAGAGAGAGCACACACAGGCAGGGGGGGCAGAGCCAGAGGGAGAAGCAGGCTCCCCGCTGAGCAAGGAGCCTGATGTGGAACTCAATCCCAGGACCCCGGGATCATGACCTGACCCGAAGCCAGATGCTTAACCTACTGAGCCACCCAGGCGCCCGAAATCTTAGCCCTTTAAGGACATTTTCAGTGCAACTTTCTTTAAGACTGTGGCAAAAGCTGACTTGTAAATGTGAATTCTAAAAGATCTTTTACTTCATTTTTGTGGCTCAATTGCTCCTCCTTCTTGCCTTTTTGGTTTGAAATACTTCAAAACATACTTAAAAAGCTGCAAGAATAGTACATGGAACACCTGATTGCCTTTCCCAGATTCAAACATGTTAAGCAGTGTTTACCATTCTTTACAAACTTTTTTTGACCTGGTTAAAAGGGTTGGTTTGACATAGTAACCTGTTGTCCCTAAATACTTCAGCACTATCTCCAAAAGAAAGGAGAATTCTCTTACATAAACACACTGCACATATCACAGAGGAAATTTAACATTAATACAGTAATATTTTCTAATACTTAATCTTCAATATTCCTCTTATCTCAGTCATTAATCACTTTTTTCCCAATCCAGAATGCATCCAAATGTGAGGCATTGCGTTTAGCAATCAGTCTGTCTAGTCTCTATTTATTTATTTGTTTATTGACTGGTCTCTTTTAATCTAGAGCATGTTATTCATGGCATTGACAGTTTTCAGAAGTATAGACCAGTTTATTAGACGATTCTGCATTTTGCGGTTGTCTTGATTTATTTCCCCATGATTAGATTCAGGTTAAATATTTTGGGGAGGAGTACTGTACCGGGGATGATTTGTCTTTCTCAGTGCTCAAATTGAAGTTGTCCCTAATTTTTGTAGCGGGATAAATTACTCTTCTAAAAGAACATCACAAAAAAATACTCTAGTAGCTATATTTTAAGAACTATGAATCAGAGAGACCATGGGTTTTTTTTCTTTTTTTTAAAGATTTTGTTTATTTATTTGACAGAGAGCGAGAGAGAGAGAGAGAGCGAGCACGCACAACCAGGGGGAGCAGCAGAGGAAGAGGGAGAAGCAGGCTCCCTGCTGAGCAAGGAACCAGACACAGGACTGGGTCCCAGGACCCTGGGATCATGACCTGAGCTGAAGGCAGATGCTTAACAGACTGAGCCACCCAGGGGCCCCAGAAAGACCATGTTTTTATTTGCATCTTAGCATCTGTTGTTGGAAAATAAGATCTAAGCTTCAGTAATTATACTGTTTTCCTTGGGAATTTTCCTTTATTGTCATCAACCAGCTTCTATTATGGTATGGTGACCTTATTCCTGTTCAGGAATAGCAATTTGGGACAAGCAAGCTATGGCAAAAACCATAGGCAAGCCCAGCAAAGAAAGGAAAGGAATGTTATTTTGTGGAAAAGGAGAAAGAGGTTGGGAAGGATTGTTTTGAACTATAGTCCATTGGAGAAAAGCAAGAGTTTGGGGTAATGATGGCTTTTCATTGGCTGGGGTAGTAGATTTATTATAGGAGATGCAAAGTACATCTTTTCCTGTTAGGACCTATAATTGCTGATTCTTTCCTGCTGAGAAGTCTTCTCTTGGGGTCTGTAACTGATAGGTCTTCCTGTAATTGACCCAGTGGTATGGCCCTGACTGCGTTTTAGAGAGGTTTCCCTTTATAAATTTTCATAGGTTGATCATTACTTGAATTAAGATCAGTCTTTTAGTATTATCAAGAAGAAAATACAATCCAACTTACTTTGAGTAGTGTTTGCTTTTTTTCTAACATTTAAAGCAAAAAGCCCATTTTGTTATTATTAGAATATGACCTTTTTCCCTTTAAGTAAAAAATTATACAAAGTCATCTCAGTAATGCCTCCTTTATTAGCTCCAATTATGTTACTAAATGCTAAACCCAGATGTTTTTCTTAAATACTATATTGAATGATTTATTTCCCATGCTATAATATTGTAAAGAAAAACTTCACTGGCTTTTAAACATGTGTTTTACCTATCTTTATTTTTAGCTGCAGGAATAGAGATGAATCAAATTGTTGGTCTTGGCATTTCAACACAGAGAGCAACTTTTATTACGTGGAACAAGTAAGTGCATTGTGTGATAAGCATTCTGTTGCTGGGTTCCTACCACAGTGAATATGTTGCTACATTGCTGTGAAACCTTTTTGGAGCATTTTAAATCAGTGAATTAATAGCAGTTTACTTGGTTAAGAGGGATGAAAGTGGGCCTACTTTCTGGCGTTGTAAAATATGCTCCCTGCATGTTATCTGGACTTGATTTACATAAAATGATAACGATAAAAAGTATTGTTACTGTTATTAAAATTCTCCATTCCTTTCTTTTGACATAAGTTAGTTTTTCAGAGAAGCATGGATTGAAATCTTAAAAATTAGCTTATAACGAAAAAGATTCAGGAGAGCCTAACAAGTTTCATAAACAGAATTCCATAATTATGTTTTATATTTTCAGTCTACTCCAGATTTAGTATTTGAGTACCTACAGCCTATGAGGTATGTGTAAATTAAACACAGTTATAATATAATGGCTCCCATATAGTGAATATCTATGATATTTCAGGTTCTGTTATCCTAACAAACAAACTTGTTATTTAGGTATTATGTCTTTTTTACAGAGAAAGACCAGGCTCAGTGAAATAAGTAAGTGGTTCAAGGCCACTCAGTTAATAAATAGAGCCAAGATTCCAGATTGTGTTTTTTGACCCCAAACATGCTCTTTCTACGACGCCCATATTGCTGTCAACATGAGTTTCTTTAAACTTTTTTTTAAGATTTTATTTATTTGAAAGAGAGAGAGTGAGAGAGAGAGCACGAGAACAGGGTGAGGGTTAGAGGGAGAAGCAGGCTTCCCACTGAGCAGGGAGCCTGATGCGGGACTGGATCCTGGCACTCCAGGATCATGCATGACCTGAGCCAAAGGCAGATGCTTAACCGACTGAGCCACCCAGGTTCCCCAGCATGAGTTTCTTCAAAAACAATAACAACAACCACAAAACTCTATAAAATGTTTCTTTGTTACAAAGTACTAGACTCCAAAGGGCATCTTGAGCATGGGGCAGTGGGGAAGAAAAGTAGTAGATATAGGAAGTAGGGATAAGTGTAGGAAACCTAATCGGGCTGAATTCACAAGATCTTGGCCATTATTTCAGTATTAGGTTAGAGGAAGAAGTTTAACTTTACCAATATTTCTGGCCTTGGTGTTTGGGGGGATATGATTGAAATTATAGAGAACATTAGAGGAGGAATGAAGTAGATGGTGATGAGGGTGGGTGGAAGGGAATATGATAAAGGTGTTTGGTTTGGGACATGTGAATGTGGAGATACCCCAAAGGTGGTTAGAAAGTTTGTCTGGTTTTAACTAAGGCATGACTCATTTCCTCTAGATAGGTGCTCTTTCTTTCAGGGCATATGTATCTCAGATGGTTGCCTGCATCTGCAGTCCCCCTGCCTTCCCCAAACTTCCCACCCAGAGTGTTGGGCATAGCAAGTCAGATGAAAGAAAAAATGAACTAAAGTCATCTGTGTAGATGTAGTTTCTAAATAGTGGCACCATTGACATTTTGGGCCAATGATTCCTTGTTGTTGGGGGCTATCCTGGGCATTATAGGGTGTTTAGCAGCATCCCTGGCCTCTGCCCACCAGATACTAGTAGCACCCCACACCCCTAGTTCTTACAACCGAAACATCTCCAGACATTGCCCAATGTCCCCTGGGGGACAGAATCACTCCCAGTTGAGAACGGTTGACATAGACAGAGTCTGGAGAAATAGGTGTGTTCTCTGATGGAGATTATATGGAGAGAAAAAAAAGAAGACTGAGGATTTGGACAATGAGTATTCACCCTTCCCCCCAACTTAAAGGGGGTCAGAAAGCAAAAAGCTGGCATGATGGGACAAACACAAATCTGGGAAGTAGGTGGTATGGAAGTAGGGACAAGGGAGTGTTCCTAGGGAAATAACCGACTGGAAGTGTTGTGTTTTGTTGGATTTGGAGATTAGGTCATTGACCACAGAGATTGTTTTTATCAAAACCTAGATAGCAGGTCATTCATGACAGGAAGTTCAAAATATTAGGAAGCAAAGTTTTTATGTGGCAGTAGGACCATATCTCACTTTTGGAAGAAAAAGAGTCAGATTCCAAGACCATTCACCTCCCTTACTGATGGTGGTGTCCTTGTGGAAGGGTAAGATTTCTTCATAAGACAATTAATAGTGAGTTTTCTCCTTGGCTATCCTTTTTTGAGAAGTTTGTATTCTTTCATGAGTCTTGGAAACTTTTTTTTTTAAAAGATTTTATTTATTTATTTGACAGAGAGAGACACAGCGAGAGAGGGAACACAAGCAGGGGGAGTGGGAGAGGGAGAAGCAGGCTTCCCGCGGAACAGGGAGCCCGATGCGGGGCTCGATCCCAGGACCCTGGGATCATGACCTGAGCTGAAGGCAGACTCGTAACGACTGAGCCACCCAGGCACCCCAAGTCTTGGAAACTTTGCTTGTAGAAACTGAAATACTAGATATTTTCCCAACCCTCCCACAAGGTTTTGTGCTTCTTTTACCTTAAAATAATGGAGTCTAAAAATAATGCTCCCCGAGTCCTGGTGAGCCACTGGAGCACATAATGTTGGCAGATCTACAAGCTCTACAACAAAGAGCTGAGATACAGCACAGAAGTGGCATGGCTCTGAGCCAGCAGGAAGTACTTCTTGCTCATTTTCTGGAGAAAGATTGACGGACAGGACCCTGGCACAGTCTACTGTGCATTCCAGTCCCAGCCTGCACCTCCTCTCCCCAGCTCACTGTTTCTTTCTCCTGCAGTCACGGCCGTAGTCCTGTTGTCTTGACCATCCAAACATTATTTTCTGGTTGTTGCTGTCAGGAAGTCTAAAACTTTGGACGTTGTTTTTGTTTTTCTCTTTCCCCCTCCTTTAGATGCCAGGAAACTTGGTCTTTGCGTTTTCTTCGTATTCCTCAGGTTACAATTTTTTTTCAATATATTTAATCAGTGGTGTATTTAGCCTGCATCTTAAAATAACAAAATGGTATCTCCTCCATTTTGGTTGTTTTAAATTCCTTTTGTCCTAAAATACCTGAGCTGTTTTGTTTCTTCAATCTCTGCGTCTCTCAGGGAGGCTTTTGCCAGGTAACCTCAGATCAGGGTGTGTGCCAGTTAGTAACATAAACTGGGAGTCATGCAAGCAAACTGAGATTCACTCAGTAACCGTTTGAGGACTTACAGGGAGTAAGGCACTGCGCCGGCTGCCGAGCTGAATATGAAAATGAGTAAGAACACCAGCCCTCAGGGAATTTACAGTCTTATAATACAAGTATACAAATGAGTCTATGTTCCCACAGCACCAAATATATCTTTTATTGTAATACCCGATACTTGTGTTAATGGTTCGTACCAATTATGACACAAATATATTAAGACCCATGGAATGGCAGAATGTGTTAGAGAGGTTTAAGGCGACTCATTTATGATATTGTTATTGATGTTTTTCCTCTATTTCCCCTCTTATTGTTGACAGAGAGAAAACAAACCCAAATCACTGCTAAGGGAATATTAGAATATGTGCTACTTCTTGAGATCAGTATCCTAGATTGTCTTCAACCATGTTATGAATTAATGACGTCACTTTCCTCCTGTGATCTTCTCCCCGTCATTGTTCTTCAACTATACTAGCATCTAACCCATCATGCTTCATCCTGTCTGAGAACCTTTGAACATGTAATATATTTTGTCAGGAGTGTTCAACCTCCTTATTTGTCCCCACTGATCCTTCAGAGCCCAATTCTATTGTCATTTCTCCAAGAAGTCTTTCCTGACCCCTGCACTGGGCAAGGTGTCCCTGTTAAATATACTCATGTTATTTCTCCTTCAGAGGACTTATTCTGTAGTAAGCAAGCAATTGAGTAATTAAGGATTTCTTCGGGTTTCTCTGGTAGAGAAAATATTCATGGGGCAAAGATGCCGTATCCCTTTCTTCATAGCTATGTCCCCACCTCCTGGCACAAATTGCTGGGTACGCATTTGATGAGTCAGTGATTAAAAATCAGATTTAAGTATGTAAGTAGAAGCTATTGTGTGTAGAATGGCATCAGAGAATCATATGCGTCGATTTCATTTCTGTCAGACAGAGGCTGATAGTCCTCATTGACAGCAGCCTTCATTTATCAGATACTTCTTTGGTGTCTGGGCTAGGGGGTGAGAATCTGAAGGTGAGTAGACTGTGTCTTCAGGAGACTCACAGTCCAGTGGGGGATACAGTGTGAACCTAGATTGTTAGGGTGCAGGCTGGTAGACATCTGTCTAGTAGAACTGCTGTGTACCTGGTAATGAAGGAGCTGAAGAGGGGCACTGAATAGCTTAGAAGGCAGAATGAGGGAGGGTTTTACAGAGTCACTTGCGCCAAGTGTCGTAGGATGAGTAGGAGTTTTCTAAGTGGGAAGAGCAAATCACTGGCAAAAACAGGAGGTACAAGAGCATGGTATATCTGAAGAATCAGCAGTACTGTGGAATTCAAGGGGTAAGATAAGGAAGGCACCACTCCCAGGTGAATCCGGGTAGATAGCGGATTTGAGGGGAATGAGACTAAGTCTGAGAAATCTTTTTGAAGGCTATTGTTTATTCAGGTCTCTGCTTTCATATCTAAAAAACTCCTCACTCCCACTTACTCTGTTCCTTTGCCATGCCAGTGTTTCATAGCATGATCCTACATGAAATGATAGTTTTAATCACTCATTTGTTCCCTCCCCCCATTAAAGGGTAGACTACAGGGCTGTTATGGAATCCTTTGTAGATTTAGGATGACCCCTCTTCCCCCTAGTTGTTGGCTGAAGCAGCTAAAAGTTACCATTAACTCGGGTGTGGCACACCAGAGGAAGAGGGACAGCAGGTTTGGGGTGGATGTGTTGCATTTGAGATGGCATGGAGCAAACGTGGGAGATCTGTGGAAGGTAGCTGTTTGTGAGGGGATGGAACTGAAGTGAATGTCTGGCCCTAGAGATGTAGTTAGGTGAATAGTCCTGTGGTGACTACATTCATGGATGTGGGTCAGATTTGTTTTT